CCATAAATAATCTGCCCCTATCAAGACATCTATCTCCAGCTGTCCTTTTCCTTTGAAACCACCGAAAACCAAAGATTTCTCAAGTGCGGGTAATCCTTCTTCACAATCTCAATATGTTCATTTTGAATATGAGAAATATTTGGCACTACATACGCGTCTACTCGCGTAACCTTCCCGCCTGTCAAGGCTGTTATATCTACCTTAACTACATCTCTTAAACTAGTTTCTTTTGATTCCACACCGAATGTTTTTATTCCGAGCCACTCTTTTCTAATTACTTCTAGCTCATATCTACGAGCCGCCTTAATCGTGACAAATGATTTATGACTACCCGAGTCAAATAGCAATCTAATCTTTCCCTGCCCTTTCTCGTTAACCTTTCCGAGGGCAGTTTGTAAAGCCACGCGATCCCCCGTCTCGACATGCATACTTGACGGCCCACGTGTTACCGTACTCGGCTCCGATTCCCGCTCCCTTCTATTATACCTGGGCATTTCTCCCGCACACAACGACGTATGATGCCACCCCCCACAACGTTTACACTTTACTACAACTGGACAATCTCGCGCGCGATGCCCTTTCCTTATACACTTGTAACATCTAGCATATCTGCGCAGGAGCTCTTTTCTTTCCTTTACACCCGTGACCTTAAAACAATTTTCATGGGCATGCTCTCCCATACAAAATGCACATGTCTTTTCTCTGTCTCGTCCCATGAACAATGCGCTTGCTGTCGAGGGAAGCTGTCCCCATCGTTGATTCACTCTACTCGGTCGGTCCGCCTGGCTCATTCTCTGTGGTGGCTGCACCTGATGTTCCTCTCGCAGACCTACTTCTGTGCTTAAGGCATCGAGCAGATCTTTCATTGTCCAGTCCAGATATTCCCTTCCCCGTGTAACGGTGAGTCTTAACGGCACCGGTATCTTCTCCATGATCGCGGGCACAACTATACTCGAATATGTTTCTTCCGGGAGGCCCAACGCCTTCAATCCTCTATAGTGCGTTTCGACTGTATCGCACAAGCCTCTCAGCCGCACGGTATCTCTCTCACTGAATACCGGTGCAATGTTCAGGAGTTCGTTCACGTGCGCTCGTTGTATGATATTCTTCTTCCCATATCGTTCCTTCAACAGTTCTACTGCAGCTTGATAATTCGCGCTAGTTAATGCGAACCCCGCAATCGCAGATTTCGCGGGTTCTTCCACCAGTCCTCGCAAATATGTGAATTTATCCACATCTGACAAGCATTCATTTCCATGAATGGCGCTCTCGTAACAGTCCCAAAATCCTTGCCATTCGTGTACTTTTCCGTTGAACTTCCTTACCTCTAGCTTAGGTAATTTAGGCCTCACTGCCCTTGCCGACGATACTGGGCGCAACTCCGATACTGGCTGCTCTGTTGCTCCTTGTTCCTCTCGCTCATTTGGAACCAGCTGCCATCCATGTATCCTTGAAATCATGTCTTGCACTTCTACTCTGAACGTGCCAGCTTCTTCCACTTCTACTTCTATATCCATGTCTTCTTTCTCACTCATTATCTCCAAGATCTCTTCGTCTAATCTCTGTACGGTAGCAAGCTTTTCTGTCAGCATTGCTTTATGTTGTGTTAACCTTCTCTCACTGTCACTAGGCATACTAGTACTAGTAGTAGTACTCTCCGCCATCCAAGTGCTGACTCTTGTCATGACTTTCTTGTCATAAGCTCTATGCCCTCCTCTCATCCTCTTCTTCTTCAATAGTTCTTCCATTGCGACAATGTATTGTTCACTCAGTTGCCGACGATCTGTCTATTCGGTCTAACTCTTCGGTCTAACAATCCGATCTAACAATCACCAATCTTAATCTCGCCTGTGCCGGTTCCATCATCTATGTTCTATCGCACACTCTTTCATTGATACTGAACAGTAAACACTCTAAATATATATATATCACTTGCTTTATTTGGTATACACACTCCGTACAATCTGAGTCACTCTACTTTCCTTGCATTAACACTCCCTACAACCTTCTCCGTCAACACTCGTTTCCAATCTCCCTTCCCTATCTTGCATTCCCCGTACCACTCTCTCTCCGTCGCGAACCCCGACCCCACACACGTACAATGTAGCAATTACCATAAACATCTATAAAAAGTCACTCCGCCCTACACGTCATTGCTCTCCCGCCGGCGCCGCCGCGCCGAACTCATTCTCCGAGATTACACATCACTTATCTACACATTCACAATCTACATATCATCAAAAGTACATATTCATACAATTATACATGATGCTATATACGTTTACATGATATTTCCCAACAATAATGCACTTGGTTTGAATGTTGATAAAAGTGCGCGTTATGATGTTGGACGACGCTCTCATTAAATTAGGAATTTAACCGGTTCTTTCAATCCTGTACGATTTCAACATAAGTTACTGTCTTTTTAATGTGAGCTGCCTTCGGTGCGAAAATCATTCAATCAATCGTTCTTATTAATTAAAGTTACTAATTAACGTTGAAGTTCTTCGATTAGTTTTGAATTCAAGTTTATAATAAACGTTATTAAAAGTTAGCTCAATTTGTGTTTCATCACAATATACTTTTTTCCAAATTTCTTTATTGGATCAATATATTGATGTAAATAGTTGTTACAAGATGCCAATAAAGCCATTATTATATTATTTCTCTTGTATGTCTAGATCTAAAAGGCGGCTGATCAAAATGGGACAAAATTAATCAGTGTTTCCGCATGAGGAGTCTTTTGCTGAATGTTCTTCAGACTGTATTTGTGAGCGAATCCGTTGCGTTATCGATAAAATCCAGCTGGGTCTTCCTTTTCGTGATTTGACCCCCAAATTACGAAAATGAAGACCCTCATCAAACTGCAAAAATACCATATTTTATACGTCAGGGCACTATCATGTTGTATTCGTCTCAATAACATTGGAGTAAACCAATCGAATTAAATCATCGAATTGAATCACAAACAAAGCCGGTCAGCCATTTATTCAGCAAGCCACCATCGCGCATGCGTCACCGGATATTACATACAAATAATATAGAGGGAGCTATCATCCAGACACTACAATCCCTCCCTTTTTTAAACTCTTGTTACCATGAACATGCAACTCCTATTTGCGTCCTCACTTGACAAAAAACCTTTACAGCTTTAAATCATTAACGTCTTTCATAACTATGCAGTACCGTTTCCTTACAGTAACTCTAAGCAATATTAACTATGAAAATGCATCGATAATGCAAACAGTTTGATATTAAACGTATCATTTTCCAGTCACATGTAAAAATCACATGAATATCAATACTGCATATAAAAAGAAGTCTACCGTCTTTCACATCTTCAAACTAACCCCTAGACACTAACAGTGGTACCATTCCTCAATACACTCATTTACTTCTACATGTCAAAATCTCTAAATCGAGCTGGCATAGACTTTGCCCTTACAGGTCGCGGAGAATAGGGCACTACTGAACGCGATTCCTCCGGAATTATGACATCGTGCGCGTCACTAACATCACACCCTGCCCTAACATCACCCTCGATATCTCGCGATTCTGTGTCAAGGTCATTCAGATCAAAACCCATTTCTAAGTCTCCGCTAGAATCTCCGTTCACCTGCTCGCGCACATTACTGCCACTATAGGTTCGTTCACGATATTTCTTTAGATGAGTTACATTCCGTTTGTATTGTACTCCATTGTGTTCAACTACAACCGAATTTCCTGTTTTGGCAACTACTCTACAAGGTTCTGCGTGAAATGTAGGAGTAAGTTTTTCTTTTCGGTCGCATTTTAGTAACACCTTATCGCCTGGCAAAATGTCATTATCACACGCATTTCTTTTCGCGTCCGCATATCTCTTCCCTCGTCCTTTCTGCTCACGGTCACGATCTACGATCTCAAGATCTTCCCGCGAATCCTCGATGCCTGAGATACGTGTACAGAGTTTTTTCCGGAACATCAGTTCTGCAGGACTCACTCCTGTGGTAGTATGTGGTGTAGTTCGATACATCATGAGGAAGGTATCAAGTTCCTCTCGCCAGTCCTTCTTTTCAATCTGAGCGATTCGGATTCTCTTTAACAATGTTCGATTCTGTCGCTCTACCTCTCCGTTCGCCTGAGGCCAAAGAGGGGTAACTCTACGATGCTCAATGCCTTCGGCTTCTAGAAAGTCCTTAAACTGTGAACTGATAAATTGTGGTCCATTGTCAGTCGTAATACTAACTGGCTTGCCATGTGTAAGAAACATCTTCTTCAGACTTTTAACAATATTGTCTGCTGTTGTCGTTCGCAGGATCTCTACCTCGAAATATCTGCTGTAGTAGTCGACGGCAACAAACAAACAGTCTCCAGATGGCAATGACATAAGATCCGCTGAAATGCTTTGCCACGGTCCCGTAGGCAGTTCAGTCGGTGTCATCTTCTCTGGTGCTTGTGGTGTTCCTACCATCTGACAAGCATGACACGTTTTAACAAAGTTCTCGACATCTTTGTCAATTCCGATCCACCATACTTTGGAACGAAGCCTCCTCTTCATACACACAATTCGGGATCCACCTCCATGACCAATTCAAGTATTGTCTCACGCAGTCGTTTTGGTGACCACTAAAACAACTAGTTCCTCTCAAACACATATCGCGTGCTTTCCTATTATTGCACAGTTCATCTTAACTGATAGGAGACCCGTATTGATTTATTTTTCTGCGCAACTGATGTTCGAATACAGTTACGAACTTCCATGAGTTCCTTATCATCAGCAATGCTTCCTCTAGCCCTCTCGGGTAAACAGAGCTTTAGGTGTTGGTGCATTGTAGCAACAAACTATGTAGTTCCTTACACGAGTCAGCAGAACAATTGTTCTCGCCGCAGGGTTGTCTCCCCTTAGACTGGGTATCAAGCGGCTGACAAACATCTGCAATGTTTTGTTACCGGGGAAATCCATTTCATGGGTAAACCGATATCGATGCAGTCGAAGCACCCAATCTGTGTATTCTTGCGCGCTCGGCACTTGTCCGCGAAGATTTGTCCGGAATATATACACTCAGAGTGGTTTTGGTCCCGTCAACAGTAGAAATTCTGTCCCATATCAAATACATATGAAGACGCTCACATGCCCACACAATACCTAATGCTTCTTTCTCTGTCTGAGAGTATCTCCTTTCGGTATCTGTCAAACTCCTACTAATGTAGCAGATAACCCGATCTTCTCCCATGTGTTCTTGGACAAGCACAGCGCCAAGTCCTACAGGACTAGCATCAGTGATGAGCTTAGTAACAGCATTCTTGTTGAAATAACCAAGTGTATCTGTACTGGCTAGTCTGTGCTTCAACTCGTTGAATGAGTCTTCGTGTTCCTTGTTCCACACAAATGGTTCTCCCTTCCTTGTCAATCGACGTAATGGCTCTGCAACTGTAGCCAAATAAGGTATAAATCTCGAACTGTAGTTTACTAATCCTAGGAAGCTTCTCACTTCTGTAGCAGATTCTGGCTGTCTCGCCTCATCAACTGCTTGAACTTTTACCTTGTCGGGGCCTATTCCCCTCGCAGACAGCAAATGCCCCATGAATACTAGTTCCGACATGCGAAATTTGCATTTGTCTCTATTTAACGTTAGTCCCGTTTCCTGGATCAGTTTCAAAAGATTCTCCAGTCTCCTGTCATGCTCCTCCACAGACGATCCGTGCACTATTATGTCATCAAATATGTTTCGAACCCCTTCACAACTCTGGAGGGTTTGTTGTATTACACGTTGGTACATCTCGGGAGCACAGGAAATTCCGAACATGAGACGCTTGTAACGATACAGTCCTTTATGCGTGACAAATGTTGTGATCGGACGTGACGACTCTGAAAGTTCAATCTGATGAAACGCCCACTTTATGTCCAGTTTACTGAAAACGGTGCTCTGATTCAAATCATACAGGATTTCCTCTACAGTAGGAATTGGATGTCTCTCCCTGATAATCGCAGCATTAGCTCTCCTCATATCAACACATAGTCTGATATCCTTGTCCCCCTTAGGGACAACAACTACAGGAGACACCCATGGGGTGGGACCTTCAGCCTTCTCTATAACATCAAGGTCCTCCAACTCTTGAAGTTTCGTCTCAACTTTGTCTCTCAAGCTAAATGTGATTCTCCGCAGTGGCTGTGCTACTGGTTGCACTGTACAGTCAAGAGGAATCTCGAGTTGATAATCTTTCAACTTGCCTAGACCCTCAAAACATGTTTGATATCTATCAAACAGCTCAGTATCATCTTGTACTGCGTTTACAACAGATGCATTAATGCCAATTTTTAGCACACCCAGATCAACAGCAGTTTTCCTTCCCAGCAATGCTTGACCTTTCCCTTTTACAACCACAACCTCTCCTTGAACTCGGCTGTTTCCTATAGCCATGTCTGTTGTGAAGCATCCAAGCACTTGCATTGGTGCAGCACTTCCGTATGCAAACAATTGTTTGTCCACTTTCCGTGATGTACATTTTACATGGTTTTGTTTTAGCTCACTCCATAATGTCTCATCAATCACATTACAGCTAGAACCAGAGTCAATAATCATCGGAATATTCACCACTCCGCCCACATCAACATGTACAGAGGTTTGTTTACCATCGTCCCATAGTGAAAAAGCATATTCACTGTTACCGTGTGCAACATGATCACGTGATTCCTCCAGCATACATACTTTCTCCTTAGGCCTAGGTGATTTCCATCTACCTTTGTTCTCAGAACGCCGTTGTGTAG